GCTTCTGGAAAGTTAGAAAGGAGTGAGAAAACTGTGTTTGTGTACTGTGAAGTGACTCGCCCTGGTTTAGCCTTAACAAGATCCCTCCTATATATTTAATGACCTGAATGTAAAATTTATGGCTTGGAATGCCCCAGCAGCAGAGGAAGCCTTCAGCACACAAGCTGCCTTTTGCAGGACAGGAGAAGTGAAATCCCCTGAGGTTTGGGAAGTCTGAGTGATGTAGTTATGGTTGGCACTTTGAATATATGTGTAGGCTACTTCAAAATAAATATTTGCAGTCCAACTCTAGCATACATCTGGGAGGGTGAGAACTAGCATGTATTAATGTTTCTTCAAATTAATAATTTTGAAGATTTTATACTGAAATAATTTTGCTGTTGCACATAATAAACGGAGGTTGGTGTGGGTACATACTGGGGAGAAACATCACCTGCCCTCTATGCACTCCATTTCCTCCTGTTTTGAAGAAAACCAACCCTTCTCATGTGTCAGCCTCTTTAAAGAAGGGAAAATAAAGGTAAGGGAGCTCTTGCAAGACTTGCCATTTTAATCTCTTGTTTTGACACGTGCAGCTTTTGTGCTGCTCAAACTCTCATTCACCTGTTGCCTCTGTGTATGAAGAGAAGCAGGCAGATAAATTCAGTTCAGTCTCCTGGGGGAAGCTGTGCAATGTCAGATTCCTCTCCCAGTGTCATCCGTGCCTTTGCTTCGTGCTTGATGCCCCCAGCTCAGGCACTGCACAGAGCACACCCAGGGGAAGGAGGCTGGAGTTGCTCCCAGGATAAACATGGAGAGGTGCCCTGGGAATTGCTGTCTCCATGAAATGGGGCCCAGATCCCTACATTTCTCAGGAATCCCAACCTGACTCTGCCTTTGTATGTCAGAGGATTTCTCCAGGTCAATCCAGTCTTTTCTTGCTACAAATGATAATGAAGTAGATCAGTAAATCCTTCTGGATTTTTGTGTCCAACATTTTTGGAAAAGACTGGTTTGTAGTTACATATTATTCCAGTTATTTTCTTGATTATGCTAAAACTGACCTTTACTAATGCACTGATGGACAGAAAGCTTATTTTAATACATCAATTATTGTGACTTAATTTTCTTAAGCTCTCCATGGTCTTCTCTCTGGAAATAGATTCTCTAAAATTTTCTCTTTGTGCTGGGTAAACTATTCATTTTGGACCTACTGCCTGCTTCTGTTTGTGCTAAATTATACCACCCTGTCCTTTCTTCAGAGTTTTCTGGGGCATCTCTGCATTTCTTCAGGATATGGCAACCACTAAGAAATCACTTCTTTTTAGGGAAAGATGAGAAATCAAAGAAAAGCAGAAAAAAAAGGAAAAAAAAAAAAAAAAAGACCGACCCACTTGCTGCGTTGCCTGCTGCTGCTTTCCTCTTCCCCGGGAGAGGAGATGCAAGAGGGGTGTGAACCAAAGTCTGCAGCTCCTCGGATGAAGCTGCAGGCGTGACTGGGGACTGAGCCAGCACAAGCCGGCTGTAAATAGGGGTAAAACCACCATGGGTAAAGCAAATGGCATTTGAAAGGCAGGGCCACTGTGTGCCCTGCAGAGTGGCTGATGAGCTTTATCAAAATGCACATCCTCTCTCCAAGGGTGCTCTGCCTCCCCTGTCCCAGCCGTGATGGCAAAGGGCTCTTTGGAAAGGCCAGGGCAAGCACCGTGTGTCTCTGTCTGCTCTTTGCAGTGGGTTTGGGCAGCGAGGGCTTTGCTGGGCCAGCAGAAAGGCTCTGGGGAAGATTTCCTGGGCTCGGGACAGAGCCCATTCCAAACCTGTGGCAGCCAGAGCCAGCAGCCTGCAGTGTCCTGCAGCCTGGGATGCTGGCATGTTGGTGCCCAGGGTACATTTTTCTCTTATCTTTCATTTCCATATATCTATGTACACAAACAAGGGGATGGGACTGCTAGAGGAGCTGTCTCAAAACCTTTATTCCATCACAATCATCAGTCTCATTTTACAGAGCCAGGCACGGGAGATGGAAACAGCTTCAGCCACTTAAAACAGCAGATGAAGTTCTTTTTGTTACAGTCTTTTAACAACTTTCTAGCATAGAAATATACAATAGCATAGAAAATAACCACTTTCTAACCAATAACATATATTAAAAGCTGACAAGTGTTTGCTTAGGCCAATTAATGAAGCTGCATTTTGCTTTGAACAATGCTTGCTTGTAATAGCTTAAACCAATGGATAAAGCTTCATTATTAAGCTTACATATTTCTATTGTCTTGCTTAAAATATTTTCCTAAGGCTTATCTCTAAACAGCTCATAGCCCTATTGTTTCTTGTCCTTGCATCTTCAGCATTCTTGCATTTCTCCATCCTGAGATTTGCTTTCACACAGCTGTCTGAGAGTTTTATACCTCTTTTATTTCCCACACGGCATCCTGGCTTTCTGGCACAGCCAGCCTGTTCTGGAAGGCAGGGCCAGACCCAGGCTGGAGGGATTTTCTCCATCCCAGCCCTGTGAAGCCTCCTTTTGACACTGAAATTAATTTTATATGGAAGTGAGGAGGAACGATCCGTGCTGCTCTGGAGGCAGGAAAGAGCAAGAAAAGTGGTTTTGTCCCTTGGAGCTTTTCTTGAGTAAGGAACAGTTGTCATGCACGGGCTTGTCTCTGGTGAGTGGATGGGAATTTTTCTGAAATGTGCCCCTATTTTGATAGATGGTATGGGAAGGGGGAGAAATACCACCAGCTAATCTGTGGCAAACAAATGATTTAACCACTTAACCAGCTTAACCCCTGGGTTTGAGCTGTCCAAACTGAGCCCCTCCTTCAGCGTGGATCCTGCATAATTTGAGCAGATGACTTACTGCTTCTTCCCCTTTCCCTTTCTCAGGATTAAAAATCAAGAGAGGAATTAGGCTTTTATCTCATTTGCTACTCTTGAGCACTGAGCAGATTTTCCTCAGAGCTGTTGGCACAAAGTGCATTTATAACATACAGCACGAGTGGAATTGCAGGGCTCAGACAAAATGCTTTATGTGTGCTGAATAACAACACAGGCTGCAGCCTTGGAGTGAGGGGGCTTTTCCTGCTCCACCTGTGCTTGCAGCTTTGCTCTTGAAATAAGCCAGAGCTGACTGGGCATTTGTTAATACACTGGGCAGAGTGCTGTTACCCCATAAAAATTCCCTCCTGGTTGCAGTGGCAGCCCTTTTGCTTCCTCCTTGCCTTCGGGAGAGTGTGGATGCAGTCATATATCTTTATTTAATCAGCTGGAAAAGTGCCAAATAGCTCCCAAGGTGAAAAATAAGGTGCTTTTATCCTCCAGGCCATGTATGCCAGAGTGGAACAATGGTCCTGTCTTGTAATGAGCTGAGTCAGCATAGGGAATAAAAATTATATCTCCCTTCAGCCTGTCAGCCCTGTTATCCTTCTGCAGGCTGACACATTCACTGAGCTGAGCTGGCTCATGTGTCGTGGCCTTTATGTGAGGCTGTGAGATAATGTGCTTGGGTTTTATGGCATTCTGACTCATCATCTGATATTTTTCCCTCCTCTCTCCCAGGTCACATGAGAAGGGGCTGAACATGCATGGTCTGTCCGTGGCTGCAGAGCTCACATGTGTAAGTTTACTCACAGTGTTGCTGTTCTGGCATCAGCCCTGCTCTGTGCCAGCCCCACTCCCCAGGCCAGGAGCAGGAGCTGCAGGGTGCCAGTGGTGTCTTGGTGGGCAGAAAGTGTGAGCCAGGTTCTGCTGGGGGGGGGACAGCAAAGGAGAATCAGTGTCCCAGCCCTGGAAGGCAGGAAGGGTCCTAGAAGTCTGGCTTGGCATAAATCCTGGGCTAAGCTCTGCTTTTCTTGGGCTTTGCTTGCACATCAAAGGTCTCTCTCAGTTTTACAAGAACCAAACCCACGTGGAGTGTTTACAGATCTCTGCTGTCTCTCTGAGCTGCATTTTTTTCTTCACCTATTCCATGCAACAAATTACTTGGAAAGCAGAAAGTTCAGGGAAGCACCTGCCGCCCTCATTTGCTGTTGCAGTGAAAGAAACCCAAGAGTGCCATGAGTCCTGCTAAGAAATTACCTTCTGTAGCTATTACATTAATCAGTCTTTATAGTATGAAACTCTATTAAGTTTGTTAATGTGTATTAATTCGTATTGTACACTGTCATGGAAAGAGGTACAGGAATTTTACTGGATACTTTGTTCATGCTTAAATAAAACAAATTAAAGGACAGCCCAGCCCCAGAAAAAAAAGGACTTTGCTTCTTGGAAGCCTAGAGCTGCCCATGAAGAATAAAGGATGCCTCTAGACAGCCAAGACAATGCCAGCATCCTCTAACACATCTCCCAGCCTTGGCTGGGGTCAGAGGTAGGTGACCACAGCCAGGCTGACTCCAGCAACACCGGGGTCATCAGGCAAGCAGCACAAAAGCTGCAAACCCAGAGCTGCTTTGCCAAGTTTTGCTCTGCTTAACGATCAGTTGTGTGGGTGTTGGTGATTAGTCAGATTGTGCTCTACTTGGACATTTGATAGGTACAGCAACCCTGTGTAAAACCACATTTAAGGTGCTCCACTTTGGCTGGGGACAACTTTTGTGTCGGTTTTGCTGGGCAATTGAGTGGACAGTGATGATCCGGGTTGCTGCTGGCGATGCTGTGATGGGACACGGGGCACCCAGGGGTACCCACCCTTCCTACAGCCCATGCTGCATCAGCGCAGCCCGGCTGCGGGGCAGGGTCGCCTGTCGCGACACTCCAGTTCCCCGCCCAGGGCAGTCCCGCTGTGCCCGCCGGGGCTGCGGGCAGCTCTCAAAGCTCCGTGCCCGTGCTTTCCTCTGTCCCTGGGGATTTTGGGGCAGGCTGCGTGATCCCCTCGGAGCTACCCGAGTGTCGCCGTGTGCCAGCCGAGCTACCTGCCGGCCTCCGCACGTCACCAGGCTGGGCTATAAAGCGCAGGCGGCACAGCATCCTCCCCTCGCAGCTCCCCAGCATCTCCAAGCACAGACGCACCGGCGGGAGCAGAGATGTTTTATTCGGGAATCCTGACCGAGCCGAGCAGGAAAGAAGTGGAGATGAGGGAAGCGGCGTCGCTCCGGCAGCAGAGGAGGATGAAGCAGGCGGTTCAGTTCATCCACAAGGATTCCGCAGATCTCCTCCCTCTGGACGGGCTGAAGAAGCTGGGCACTTCCAAAGACACCGTAAGGCTCTGTCTGCTGTGTTTGGTGGAGGGAGGATGAAGAGGCTGCTAAGGCAGTGCCCATTTCTCTCTTCACGCTGTTTTTCTATTAGGAGAAGTTGGTTGCGTGTAGAAACTGATTGTAAAAGATGGGACTTTTATATGTGAAAGGAAAGGAGTAGAAATACCATGCTAGATATAACCACAGTTTTCTTCTAGTAAGTACTTTTAGATGCCTGGCACTCAGAATTAATAGCATTAATTTTTATATATATATTTTTTTAGATGCCTGGGACTCAGATTTAATAGCATTTAATTATTTTTTTGATGCCTGGCGCTCAGAATTAATAGCATTTAATTTTTAGGTTTTTTTGTTGTTGTTTTTTTTTTTAAGATGCTTGGGACTCAGAATTAATAGCATTTAATTTTTAGATTTTTTTTAAAGATGCCTGGGACTCAGATTTAATAGCATTTAATTTTTTTAGATGCCTGGCGCTCAGGATTAATAGCATTTAATTTTTAGATTTTTTTTTTAGATGCCTGGCGCTCAGAATTAACAGCATTTAATTTTTATTTTTTTTAATGTATTTTATTTTTATTTTTTACTTTTGCATGAAAATGACATTCTGTTTGCAGTACAAAATTCCTCTCTGGGTCAGAGTAAGTCAAAATGGCTTCATACAATGCATACATACACACACATGTTGGCCTGTGATTTGTATATACACACAACACATAATCATGAAGATTCAGTAAAGTATAGTCACTGGTATTTCAAAATATGAAACTGCCAAGATCATACTTCAGTAAAGGCTAATGCATATATGGGGTTTTTTAAACCAAAGAGACATAATTTTAGGTTTAAAATATTTATGTATACAGTGATTTATATGATCCTGAACTTGGTGTTATTCACCATGTCTGGTGGCTGGAGAGCATTTCTAAATACTGTACAAATGTTTCAGCTTTCTCTACTGGGAAAGGATACTTCAATGTAACTCAGAAGTTCTGACATGAGGAGGAAAATTTCAAAAACATATCTACCAGGGAAAGCTTCTTTAGTTTTTTTTTTTCTCAAGTGTTGGAAAAATCTTGCACCTTGTAAAATAATATTTGATTTTTTTCCAATGCTTGATATAGGTTTTATTGAAATCCAAAATCAATCTTTTTATTTTTAGTGTTTTTTAGTGTCAGAACCTTCCTGCCTGGGTTAGGCTTGGCTCTGCCTGCCTGAGACAAGTGCAGTGAGTTGGCTGTTCTCTGCAGTGCACAGGGGGGTGATTTTGTTTGATATCCCCAGTGTTTTGCAATTGAAGGAAGTGAAGCTCCTGCCCAGGGAAAGGCTCAGAAGGAGCTTTCCTGGTCACCACTGAATTGCAGCTCTCCACCAGGGAGTTGAAGTGCTTTTCAGGGAGGGATGGCATTATTACTAAGATCAGCAGAGTCTAAAAGATATTTTGTGGCTCTGTGACCCCCAGAGAGCAGGACTGAGTCCCTGATGTGGGTTCTGCCCTGCCCAGGTAAGAGTCAACAGGTGGCAGGAGCCAGGGGCACTGAGCACTGAAGTGCTTTGCCCTGCAGAGCGAGGATCGGGTTTTGTACCAGCACCAGGGGCAGAGCATGGGGCTCCTGGCACCACCTTGGACACAGAAATGTCCCTTGAGGTGTCCTCCCCACGTCACCCCTGCTGCCCCTGCAAGGGGGATCTGCACGGGGGCTCTCCCTGGGATGTGCCAAAGCCCTGGGGAGAGCCACAGCTCCCATCCCCTCCGAGAACAAAGGAAGGGGCAATGGGGCACAGGTGAGATGGCTGGGGAGGGTCTCTGGCTGGGGCTGGGGTGAGAACCCAGCTGGTGTGGGGCCACCCCACTGCAAAATCCCCCTCCTCTGACGGCACAGTGGGCACATGTGGCCAGGGCTCCCTTGGCCACAGCCCTCCTGCCCCATGGGGTGTGCAGGGAGTCCCCAGAGTGAGAGCACTGGCATGTGCCCATTCCCACAGCCCCAGAGAACATTCCATGGGTTTCAGAGATGTGTCCGTGGGTTGTGTTGCAGTGAAGTGACACTGCCATGCCCACCCCACACACAGGACACGCTGCGTGTCCCCACTGCCGTGGCTGCCTGGTTGTCCCCAGGAGGAGAGGGAGATTGTGCATCTCTATGACTGGAGACCCTCCAAAATATGGGGCTTCACTTTGGCCCCGAATGGAGAGCCCATGCCCAGAGGGACTGATGATCAGGAGGCCCAGGGCATTTGCATGTCTCCCTTGTGAATAATCGTGCATGTCCTCACAAAGCAGCAGGGTTTTGTGCCAAGGGCTGCGTGGCAGCTGTGGTGACGTGTGTGGAGGGGCTTCTGACGTGACGGCATTGTTAATGCAGGGTTTCCTGCGGGGGTTTTCCAACAGCTTTGGCAGGAGCAGAGAGGAGGAAACAGCTCCTAGCAGCTCCTCAGAGATGGGGACAGGTGGTGAGAACAGATCCTGTCTGTCACTGTGGCAGCTGGCAGCAGGCACTCCAGTTTTGGGGAGAAATCCCCTTCCTTTTGGCCGTGGTGCAGGGGTGCTGTGGCCAGCGAAGCAGCCGCAGGTCACCAGGGTGGGTGTGCTGGCATCCCCTGGTCCGTGTGCCATTACTCAGCTCCTGGAGCAGCTCTCCTGGTGATGCTGTGCACAGGCAGGTTTGAGAAATCCTTGTTGTAATCATCCATTTCATCATTTCCAGTGGATTACTCTGGCTCAGACTGAGCTCCAGCTCCTCGCTGCCTTTGTGTACTCCAGTCTGTCCAGTAGGAGACCAGCCTATAGCAAAGCGTACACGGAATTTGGCAAATGTCAGGCTGGATGTAGAGAACAGAAATGGCTTTGTTTCGATGCCTCTTCCCTCTGTTAGCATCTTTCTGAAGCCCCCCCCAAAAAATAAAAAAATCTTCCAGCTCCTCCTGGTGCTCTGACACTTGTCCCTGTCCCCCAGAGCCACCAGACCAGTTTGGAGCAGCTTTGTCTGGAACAGTCCTGCACGGTTTGACAACCCGGGCAGCAGAGTTATAAATAGTAACAATTCCTTTCCATCATGCCCTCAGACCTCCCCCGGGCACCCTCAGCACATCCCTGGGTGCCCTGTGGCCCCTGCCCCAGGTTCCCATGCCAGTGCAGCACTGGATGAATTAATTGCAGGGCGTTCAGGTGTCCCCATTTCCCTGCTGTGCACGCCCCAGAGGTTGGTGTGTCCTGCCTGAAATGCAGAAAGCTCTGATGTTGTGGGCACTGCCTTGCCCAGGGAGCTGGCTGCTGCCTGGGCACACAGCTCTGTCCCAAATCATCACCCCAAGAGAGGGGCTGACAGCACAGGATGCTGGCAGAACATGTAAATTTGGATGGAGTAGCTCTGTTAATGCACTAAAACTCCTTTTTTTCGTTTTTTTTTTTTTTCCCCCCACCATCTAGGCACAGAAGAGAGGGCAAACCTCCTGAGATG